AATAATTTTTCATTTACTTTGCTCACTGAACTGAACCTCAACAGTGCTTAGGCTAATATTGCCGAAATACGTGGTTAAGTACAGTATTTTTAGTAGTATTTAAATTCATCATTTAAAAAATAATATATTTACCCAAAAATTCGTAGACATATGCAACATTGAAGGGTATTGAAATATTAGCAATCATTTTCAATCTATGAATGTTGCACATCGGCCAATAAATCTTACAGGCTTCATAATTTATTAAAATCTGAGACAATATTATTAGATTACTCTATCGCAGATTACTTCTAAATAAGATGAAGCATTATTCGTCATCAGTGCACTTGGCTTAGAAAACAGGTGTGTGAGAAGTGACCTTGCCTTATACAGAGCCAATGTTAACACTACACCATCATTACAGCACACTCTAAATAACCGTGTCTCTGTACGTGAAATTATGTATGTGTTTATATCGTCAAACGTACTATTAATTAGACACCTCGGTTCATGGGTGGATGGCAAAATAATTCGGTAGGAGATGATGAATTATTGTAAAAAAAATTGTTGAGTATTAGAATATTTTAATTGGTAAAGAAAGTTTGTTAGCGTCGACTAATGAGGACTATCTTATTTGGCATAAACGATTAAAAAATAAAATATGGATTAGAATCATGAGGACGATCTTACATTAAAATCATAAAACCAATAGCAACATTGCAAAAATCCTTTATAAGGACAATGAATAGTAGAATTAGAACAGAACGTGGTGCACCCATTTTTATATTTCAAAATATTTCGCTAATTGGAAATGTTCGTTTAAAGGGTAAAAAGTGTGTTTATATATATACATAATGGTACAATTTTGTTATTGAGTCTAGATTTTTTTTACATTAATCAAAGTGTTATTTATTTTTAGCTTCGAAATTTTTAGTAGCCTTCCTAACCCGATTAAAGAATATTCAAATAAAATAAGTTTCTTAAGTCACTTCGCAGACACCTAATTGCTAGTTTAAATAAAAATAAATGTTAGGATACCTTAGTTAATTGTTTTTTTTTATAAATAATGTTAACATTGAGATCTAGCAGTTTACATAATTATGTATGTTAACAAAATTATAATTTAATAACTTTTGCTTTTGATTGTTTCGTCCTTCTCTTTCATTAAATTTGTTTGTCATCCATTCATTCTTATACAAATAAAGCCATGATCTTATTATTTTACAAATTGTATGTAAACGTGTTTTCGCCACACCACACAGTAGGCCTAAGCGTCCCTATTCTATACTCTTTTAGACCAGAATATCATTGTTGACAAAATAGGACAGGTAAAGTCAGCTGGAGAATACAGTACATTAATTTACTACATTTACGTAATAGGCTTTAAGCAAAGCTACCTCTCTGGCCGCACGCGTAATAGACTCGCCCATCTCAACCATGCAAATCAGCCTTAGAGATTTAACCACTTCGATTGGACTGTCAGTGTGTCAAGTGTCTATTATTATTTGAAACTTATTAAGCTTATAAGCCAATCGTCGCTCTCGATAGAGATACGACTCTCGGCTTTTTAAAAATTGTTTATTCCAAATCTCAAAACATGGTGCATATACAGTGGCCAGTTTGGGAAGTCATGTATTAGCCACCCACAAATCGTTGCGAGAGTCAACGAAATCGGAGGTTTTTTTAATAACTAACATGACTTTAAATCGAATAAACCTACAGTATATTGTACGAACAGTTTGTGTAGATTTTTTCATTTGCTTAGAGATAAGTTTTTTGTTGTGTTTTATTTAATTTAAATGATATATAAATAAACACACAACGGTTGGATAACTAAATCGATTGCAACGACACCTAGCGGTGACTTGGTGTACTGTCCGAATGGTGAAGGGGTGACACCTAGCGGTGATTAAGGGTACTTCTGTTGCATATCTTGATGTGGTGTCGTATTGAAACAATTTACATCATTGTTTCCTTTCCTTCCGATGGTGAACCACATTACAATAAATACACCAAGAAGATGCATCCTTTACTCTTATGTAAGAAAATGTTTGCTATTATAAGCTTAAAGCAAATTAGCTTATACAAGCATAAGGCTTCCTTTTTTGCATAAAGATTTCGAAAAAGGCTTCGACGGTTTTATACAAATGTAAATAATTTGTTCTGGCCTAAAAACGTGATTGACGACAGCTACTACCTTAGGAAAATTCGCATTTGTGGGGAATTAATAGCTCCCCTATGTCTCTTCGCACCTGCCCCGAGGTCGTGCTAGTGGTGTAGCAGTGTTGTGTATGTGTAATAGCAAATGTATCCTTTTATAGCAAATGTAAACGGCTATATACAGGGTGTCCGGTAATAAGTGTTAAATAAAATTTTGCCTCAAACTACATGGTAATGGCGACATAATGACGCACATTTAAGGTTCCCAACCTCAACCGTTAGGGAATAACAAATTAATTAAGGTTTTCCAAAAATTATTGTAGTTGTTATGAAAAAGGTTATATTACTCTGTTAAAAATGCATTAATTGTTAATTTAAATGTCATTTTCAGAATCCTCACAAAATTTTAAATAGATATAACACATAATCGTTGGGGTACGGAAAAATATTCTATTTACATTTCTTCGTTTAACAATTATTTTTAATATCGACGAAAATTTAAATACCATTCAGAAATTTATTTCTCGGTTACCGAGTTCCGCTGAGTTAAACAAATATTACTAAAAACTTCCTTATTTAAAGGGCTTT